TCGGAATGAATCTCATCGATTTGCCTTATGAAAAATAATGTTGGCGGAGCAGACTGGAACCGAACCATGGATTTGAGATTACGGGGCCCGTGTGTTCACCACTCGTCTTTCAACGCTTGGCTAAAAGAAATTGTTAAAGGTATATAAGACCTACCTCACACACTAAGATTATTTCACCGAAATCTGTTAAATTTTACCGAAATCTCAACAGCTGAACCACAGACAAACAGACATAACACTCACAATCACATTCATCGCAAATAATGTTTTAGTTGGGAATGTGCTTGCATTTGTCATGGTGGCGCCACTGAAGCATTGAGCAAGCCACCACATTTCGAACTTTTCAGTGATGCCAGTTCTTTTTCACGTCTAGTTAGTAAATGTCAGCTCTTGAAAATGATAAGTGGTCAAGGCATCCCACTGGAGACACATACCACATCAGACGAATACAGAAAAAAATTGTTGAATATTACATCAAAACTGCTGCACATTAGTCATTTCGTTCCTAATATTACGTTGTACGATGTACACAGAATTCGAGAACAAAAAATCATGTTGATGACTGTAATATTCTAACAATTTTTACCAGTTATTGATGTTCAATACTTCACCATGAATATCATTGATTGATACATATTATTTTTTTCTTCTGTGTACACGGATAGAAATTTCCTTATACCTTTTGGCAAATTTCTATTGCTGATTATACATAAAATGTATAAGTCAACTAATAAGCAGACGCCATGCAAAACGTTAATGAAGATCATGTGTCAAATTAAATGTATAAGCGGTCACACATACCTTTTATGCAATCTTATAGGACCTATGTGGTTTGTCTTATGGAATGTACAAGGCTGATGTTTTGGCAAAAATGTATAAGTGAAACACATGGATAAAATAATTGATTTTCGTTTCGTGTACACATTGAAGTGATGAGCGGTGGTAGAAAGGGTACTAATAAATGATGCATTATCTTGTTTAAAAACTTGTTTCCAGCAAAAGAAAAAGCACACTAAGCAAACAAAACAAATCCCTAAAAAAAAGTTTTTGCTTCTAAGAATTTTTCCTACGGTTCCGTATTTCTGCAGAATTCAATCAATTATATAGATGTTCGGAAAATTTCGTAGAACCGACATCACTGACTTCCATCTGTTTTGTTTTTATTCAACACAGATGACGCGTTGACAGAACGAGGGAAAAGCAACTAGTGAAAAAATTGCATGAAAGAGGGATGCTCCGGTTGCAAAACATTGCTTGGGAATGTGGATGATAGATGGTGCTAGTGCGCATGCAAAATACGCTTGACGATATTTTTGAAGAATTTTCTTCTAAGAGTTATGTCTGTTTGTCTGTGGTTATAACATGTTATAGCGCTATCTTGATGGTGGTCTCTGTGTTGCAATTATTTGACAACCGTTATAACATGTTATAACTCTCCAGTCTGAACAAGGCATATGATTCCAGTTCCGGGTACGGTGAAGCGATAACACCGACAAACCGACATGAATGACCATAGCAAAAGCAATAAAATTTCTGACCAAAGCACACAAGTGACATCTGGCTCCGTGTTCGCGGGAATTATTTAGCTAAGCCATGAACCCGCATGCAACAGTTTTGAATCGGTCCGTGTCTGATCTATTCTGGACAAATTATTTTTATCTAGATCAAAAAATCCTATGGTTTTGACAGTTCGGATCACTGCACATTTAAATCAACCGTTTACGATTTTCAGGCATAAGTTAGAATTAAGTGTCATGTCGGTTTGTCGGTGGCGATAATACTGGCTTAAGGGTGATACGGTCAAAATTTGGTCAAGGGAAAACGCGTGTAAATCGGTGAAATCGTTTATTTAAAAAATCAAATTAAATTTCTTTTTCAAGTTCAATTAGTATAAAATTCAGGAAAAATATTCAGTTAGGCTTCCGCTTTTCCAAATCCGAATTGCCGGGCCTTACGCTTGACCCCTGCCATCAGATTTTGTACAGCCACCTTGTCCACCTTCTTCACCGCAGAAAGCCAGTTTGCCTTGAACTGCTGCTCGCCCTTAGCAGTTTTTTTGGTCTTCTTTAGGTTCCGCTTGACAATAGCCCAGTATTTCTCAATTGGGCGGAGCTCTGGCGTGTTGGGAGGGTTCTTGTCCTTGGGAACCACCTGCACGTTCTTGGCGGCGTACCACTCCATGGCCTTTTTACCGTAATGGCAAGATGCCAAATCCGGCCAAAACAGTACGGAACAACCGTGTTTCTTCAGGAAAGGCAGCAGACGTTTATTCAAACACTCTTTCACGTAAATTTCTTGGTTGACAGTCCCGGAAGCTATGAAAATGCTGCTTTTTCAAGCCACAGGTACAGATGGCTTGCCAAACCAGATATTTCTTTGCGAACTTTGACAGTTTCATGTGCTTGAAAACATCTGCTACCTTTCCCCTTCCTTTTGCCGTATAAAACTCCTGTCCCGGAAGCTGCTTGTAGTCGGCTTTGACGTAGGTTTCGTCGTCCATTACCGCGCAGTCAAACTTCGTCAGCATCGTCGTGTACAGCCTCCGGGATCGCGCTTTGGCCGTCGTATTTTGTTTATCATCGCGATTTGGAGTCACTACCTTCTTGTAAGTCGATAGTCCGGCTCGTTTTTTGGCTCGATGCACGGTTGTAGACGATACACCCAGCTTATTTGCGGCATCTCGGAGAGAGAGGTTAGGGTTTCGCTTGAAACTACCGGCAACTCTCTTTGTCGTCTCAGCGGCTTCCGGTTTTCGATTTCCCCCCGATCCAGACTTCCTGGCTGTCGACAAACGTTCCCCAAACACTTTAATTACATTTGTAACGGTTGATTTGGCAACTTTTAGCGATTTTGCCAACTTTGCGTGCGAGTAGCTCGGATTTTCGCGATGCGCGAGCAAAATTTTGATACGCTGCTCTTCTTGCTTGGACGGCATTTTGACAACTGAAGAGTGAATTCCAAAATCAAAATAGGAGCAACATTCTACACACACACACCTTCAAAATGAGGGGTGTTCAGGTTTTTTAAATGCAAAATTGAAAGAAATACGTCAAGTTGATATTGACCAAATTTTGACCGTATCACCCTTTACCTGCTACACACGACAAACGTTAGTACAGCTCCTCAACGATAAAAGGCATGCAGGACAATAGAAGCTTCAGATCAAGGTGCAAATTAGTGTAGAACGTTTACCTACGACCTTAGCTTCCTCGGATCTGGACTGGAACACCAGATGCAAGCACTCCAGATATAGATTGCATAGATAGTACAGCCAAACGTCGTGGCACGCGCTGGTGGTTTGGGAAAACTCGTACTTCTCGAAGCCCTTGTTGGACATGTGGATGCAGTTGGTCAACCGAGACAGAATCCAGCGGTCGATGTTGCTCTCGGAGCCACTCTGTAGAGTAAAGATAAAAGTATTTTATTAACTTCAAAGTGGAGCGTGACAACCTTACCATGCCCTGCAGCACGTCGTGCTGCTTCTCGTCGGTAAAGTACATCAGCGCAAATTTAGTCGCGTTCCTCAGATTGCAAAAAATAAAAAAATAAAACAACAGATTTCAGTGATAAATGTGCATGCTCATTTTTTTGTCTATTACTTTATTTTATAAGGCTCAAACGAATTAACTTTACAGAGCCGAGGATTCTTGGTCACTATACAATACATCTTAAAACTATAGTCAAAAGGTACAACACAACAAACACTTTATCTTCCGCTATCCAAAAAGCCTCCTTCATCAGAACTGGAGCCGCTTCCAGTGGTTTCAAAGTCAGTCAGTCAAAAAAAGTCAGTCATTCACAAGACTGAAAATAGCCTTAAATAGCCAGTACTTTTCAAATTTAATTTATTCTACAGAAAATAATTGTTTCTTTTAAATATGTTTATGATAAAACTATTCATTGTTGACCCTTCCAACATACTAATAAAAAAAATCCTTTGGTTACCGGTTGTTTACAAGGGCGCACATTAGACTGATACAAAATTTGAAATTTTCGCTCCACAGTGCTTAAACGGTTCCAAGTTGGGTCCAGCTTAGCCTCCTAAAATTTGAACTACTTTAGTAAGAAACTGACTTGGCACAATCCATTTCAAGTTTATATGGGAATTACTATGGAAAAACTTATGTTTTTGTTCATATCTATCTAACAATTCACCACATCACTATGCTTTTAAAAAGGATACCAGTGATTGTAGAAAATTCTCTCTTTTATTTTTTACTTTTCAATCAAATGTAAGAAACAAAAGTTATTAATGATTCAAGTCACTGATGTCTTATGATTATGCTCATTCAAGAGTTCAGCAGGCAACATTGGTGTTTCTAGCGCGAAGAATAGAGCACAAATATCATGGCTACTATGTCACACTGCAGAATACAGTGTTGCCCATAGAACAGTTGCTTGATCATACCATAAGATTATCAATCTCTTAAACAATTAATAACAATTTAATTTGACATTTGGCTGAAAAACGATTGTCGGCAAAGTTGTAGGTTAGAAAATTTCCCGTAAGAATTGTTATAGAAATTTTTGGTAAAACAAAACGGAAAATGGGTAGAAGACAATGAACAAAAATTTTGCTTTTTCCATAGTAATTTCTATATAAACTTCGAATAGTTTGTGCCAAGTCAGTTTCTTACCAAGTTAGTTTAAATTTTAGGAGGCTATTCAGGACCTGATTTGAAACCATTTGAGCACTGTGAAGCGAAAATTTCAAATTTTACATCAGTCTAGCGCACATACCACCCCGACAGTATGCTCATTGTACCCCAGCTGTATTATTTCGGTTACAAAACGAATATTTAAAAAATCTTCTTTCATAAGATTCAAAAGTTTACTCAATTTGTATTCATGATGTAAACAGGGCTTGAAACAATCAATTTGGTTAAGAATCATTCGAATTTCAATAAGTGATGATTTTCTTAATGTGTCCAAACTGCCCCACTTTCCTCTAAGTGATTCTGTGATATAATCGACAAAAAGATAAACGTCGCACACACTCCTTTCATTGACAATATTTTATTGAAAACAAGGTAAAATTCAACATATCAAATAGAAGTTTTCTTATTGATCGCATTCTCGGCACAGTACGGAATTCTTTTTTCTGCCTCAGAAATATCACTGCTCTATATTTTCCACCATATCATCCATATCTATCTAGTGCAATTCCATTGCAAACCAAAGCATATTGTACGTTTCCCGACAACCCCCCGAATATTTTGTGCACTATTATTTGCGAATCAAACTTTCAATCTCATTCTCTCTTTAAGGCAGGGCGCCCCAATGGCCGTAAGAAATTGTAAGCAGTTTGTAATACTTCAAATCCTAAACTTCAACACCTGTGGAGTATTGCACAGTTTTGATACGGTCCGAATCTGACCGGTGGTGTCCAAACCGTACACATCGAATCCACTTCGATCCATCACGGAAATTCTGCAAATGTAAATGAACGGGATTTAATACAAACTAAGCGACTCATTGTAGTTCTGCGACAAACCTTCCACCCGAAATGGAGTGTAAGAACTTCCAGTAGCTAGGACGGAGCGTCATCGGTTCCAAGGTAGCCGCGTGGAAGAGCAGTGCAGTGCTCGCACAGTACAGCAGTACGGTGAAACCGGGAATCTTTGGTACGTAGCCTTTCTCGATGCCCCAGTTGTAGGACATCTGAAAATATGAATCTCAAAATAACTGTTTTCGTCCTGGAATGGAGGGTAGGATCCTGCTTACCTGGAGAGTTTTCCACATAATGTACAATGCAATTGTGGTATCCGCGTAGTATCCGAATGCAACACTGGCAATCAGTCCGCTTGGGATGGCATAAGCTGCCTTATCATCGTTTGTGATGTGCCGCAGAAGACAGGAGGATATCTACCCAGAGCAAGAACCCTAACTTGAATAACAAATAAATTTGCTTATAAACCCATGCACTCACCTTATACAGGGAAGTGAACCCTCCCAGGAACAGACCAAGCTTCAGAATCTCCTTGCTCAGGAATGTCCGCTTGAACAGCTCCGGCCTTCGTATAATCTTCCGTGCTTGGAACAGGACTTTCATGATCACCTGGATGCCCAACCCGATGGAGAACATCCGAATGCCACCAGAGAGCGTATTGTAGATGCAGCTGTGCTTGTGCCGGCACAGTTCATGCTTTGCCATATTCTTAATTTTTGATATCACATTGAGGTAGGCTTTCACGGCAGCGTGAATCATATTGTAGGACGAAGCCCGCCGAGGAGGTCGTTCACTGGAACGACTTTCCCGTCTACTATCGGCCGCTTCGTCCAATTTCATCACTTCACTGTCTCCCAGTGCAAACCGGAACACATCGAACATGGAATCTTTGTAGTCTTTTTGCCGGTTTAGTCGATAGAAATAAAGCAACGTTGCGGTGGACATTCCGAAGATCAGAATCTCCCCGTATGGAAGTGATCGCACTAGGCCTCGTGATTTCAGAATATTCCAACCGGTTTCGGTTGCCACGTTGGACACGTACAAACAGAGCAGCCCCCGGCGCGATGGACGCTCTACCAGGATCGACACAAACGCTGCTATGTACGCTGGGATGTAGGACGAGGTGTAGAAATTGTACGACCCAGTCAAGCGCCGCATGACGCACAGGAACACCGAATAGCTGAAGGCGGACATCGTTAGGAAGGCAGTCGACTGCAGCAGACCGCGGAGTGTGCGTTTCAGTTCCTCGAAGCTTGGAATGCGACCGCGCATGGCCAGCGAGAGCTGCAAGATTGTCAGTTTGGTTGAGAATGAGAAGGATCTTTTTCGGGGTGGGGTTTTAGGGGGGTTACCATATAGACGGCTGTGTAGATCCGCAGGCTGTCCTGTACTGCGACGATTAAGAATTCGGCCGAAGCTATACTGCACGAATTGGTCCATGGATGGACGTACTCCTTACAGGTAACCGGTACGGATGTAAGTTTACTGAGCACTTGCATTGTGGACGCTGGAAAGAGGGAGGGATGAAATGATATTAGTATTTATTATGGTGTCCAGCCATCAGCCATCGAGAGATTTAAACTATAGGTCTCTAGGAAGTAATTTGGAATATCATGTGGCAAAATTTGACAATAATTCATTGGATCAGAGGGGCACAATCTACAACAGTTACTAACAGACGAAGATTGTTGTTTTTTTTTTAAACTTAATTTTTATTTTTTGAAGTCTACATAGAGCTGGAATTAGGGCGCAACAGCTTCTATCGATGATTTCTAGGAACTCAAGGCACGCCCACGCAGACCAACATAACCATCTGTTAGGGGAAGTCTTTCCCCGAGATGGTCGCCTAGGTCTTTCCCTAGGCGAGTAAAAGAGGTGACACAGACGGAAGAAGAGTTAGTTTGTTTACTAAAATGAACCATGCCCATTTTGTTATGGCAAGTTTGCTATAAGAAATGCTCCTCGTATTTATTAGCGAAATTCACATCAAAAATTGATTAATTGCGTAGGAAGTCAGTTTGGCACGGCATTTGTGACCAGCGTACACCTTCCGGTCATATGAAACAGGTCAAAATCCGTCCAAATTCGCACAAAAAAAAAATTTTGTTTTGAATTTCTGTATGGCAAAGTAGTGAACTTTTCGTCAACATTAACATCAAAGAACTCACCAACACTGGGAGACCGTGAGTTCCTGCCCACCTTTCATTTTCCATCTCGAGTCCCGTGCAATATTTACTCCGCAATGTATCTCTCAATGTTCGTCCGGAACCGTGGTGGTGTGGAAGCTGCCTTCCTGCACATTCGATTGCCGTCAATGGATGGCAATCGATGTCCGTCAGTGATTGGCACTAGATTGCGGAACAGAGACCGACGTTAAATAAAGGAAAGAAGAAGAAGACGGTGATTTTTGCTAATCTAATCGCACTTATTTCAAATAGGTCCAGTGTACCAAAATTGATTAAATTTTGGATTTCGGTCCCATTTTTAATGCAGATTACGAATATGCATTTACATCAGTACCCCCAAAGAACCCAATTCTGCGATATGGCACCTAGTAACACTTTTTAGCGCCAAAAATTAAAACTAGACCTCACGTACTACGTACTCATATTTCAGAATGTGAACTCGCGGTCGCGATAGTAAACCTAGTCCAATATTCAAGCAGTAGCACCAACTACACGGCGAATGGGAACGACTCAAATTTGAATTTAGTTCACTCATAATCGCCAAAAGTGCAGGAACTCAGCGATGAGTAAAATTTGTCTCATGGTTTCCTGAGGAAAACCTAAAAAATCTGCCGGAAAATGAGAAAATTGACGAAAATTTTATTCAGTTTCGGAGTAGTACCAATAGACTGAGTGAATCCAATCTTTACTTTTCTCAAATTCAGGAATTTTTCCCTGGAAAATCCTGGAAAAACCTGGGAAAACATGAGGCAAATTAACTCATCGCTGAGTTCCTGCACTTTTGGCGATTATGAGTGAACTAAACTCAAATTTGAGTCGTTCTCATTCGCCGTGTAGGCGCAAACGTGCGACTTTTCCATATATTATCGCCTGAAAGTATCTTGGTTTCCAGCGGCCCTACTCGAACATCCTTCCTCCGTCAAGTGACATCTACCAGCTCCCAAATGCAACTACACGCTGAACCTTCCATTGTTCCCGAACAGCGGAGGTCGGACATAACGATTTACTATCAGAACGTTGGCGGTATGAACGGCCTAGTGGAAGATTATCATCTGGCCGTCATGGATCACTGCTACGACATTTTAGTTTTGACCGAAACATAGCTCAATTATCGAACCATTTCAAACTATGTCTTTGGTGCTGGCTACGAAATATTTCGCTGCGATCGAAACACGAATAATAGTAGGAAAACTACTGGGGGAGGCGTCCTTACCGCAGTTAATTCCAAGCTGAAAGCAGAAGTTATCGAGGACGATTCCTGGAACAAGGTTGAACAAATGTGGGTGGCTATTCAACTTGGTGATCGTCAATTGCTTCTCTGTGCAGTGTACATTCCTCCAGATCGAACCCGTGACTTGGAGCTTATTGACGCACATTGTCGATCCGTCTTGGCCGCTTCAGACAAAGCAGGCCCTTCCGACGAAGTTATTGTTCTTGGCGATTTTAACCTACCGGACATTGCATGGACTCCAACCCATAGTGTTTTCTTTTGTCCTGATCACGAGCGTTCATCTTTCCACGTAGGAACCATCCAGCGCCTGGACAGTTATAGTACCGCAATTCTGTCACAAATCAATGGCCTGTTGAATGAAAACAACCGCACCCTGGATCTCTGCTTTGTGAGTGCTCGTGATACAGCTTCTTTCCTCTCCACGGCACCCGAACCTTTAGTCAAGGTAGTGCATCATCACCCTGCTTTAGTTATCGTGATCGAAAATAATATTGTCCATGATTTCACCAGCACTCCAAACGCTGTGTCATATGACTTCCGTAGAGCTGACCATCGCAGTATCGTCCATGTGCTGTCTAACCTAGATTGGGAGCATATTCTAGATCCTGTAGACGTCAACATTGCTGCACAAACCTTTTCTCACGTCTTGGCATATGTCATTGACAGACACGTTTCCAAAAAGATCATCCATATCGACTCTCGCGTCCCGTGGATGACGAAAGATCTTCGCTCGTTGAAAAGAACTAAGAAGGCTGCTCTCAGAAGATTTACTAAACTCCGCACACTGCCGCTGAAATGCTACTATGTCACACTCAACCACGAGTATAAGCGGTTAAGTCGTCTCTGTTTTCAACGCTATCAAAGGAGGATTTAACGGCGGCTAAAATCACACCCGAAATCCTTCTGGAACTTCGTAAATGAGCAACGCAGGGAAGTCGGCTTACCCTCTTCCATGATTTTTAATGGTGAAACAAGACATTTGCAACCTGTTCTCAGCCAAATTTGCTAGTGTGTTTGAAGCCGAGCAACTCTCCGCTAATATCATTACTTCCGCGGCCAGTAATGTTCCTTTGATCAACCAAACGCTCAGCATGGTCGAAGCCACTACAGATACGATTTCTAGAGCAGCATCTAAACTTAAGACTTCAACTAAGGCTGGACCCGATGTCCGTCGATTATTCTTAAAAAGAACATCACTTGTCTTTTAGATCCACTGCACCGCATATTCCAGCTCTCTCTTTCCAGCGGCATCTTTCCGTCTTGCTGGAAGACTGCGGATATGTTTCCTGTTCATAAAAAGGGAAGTAAACGCGACGTAAACAACTACCGGGGATTCACGTCGCTGAGTGCTGTATCAAAACTTTTTGAATTGGTTGTCATAGAGTCCCTAAATGCGCATTGCAAGCAATATCTAAGTACAGATCAACACGGATTCATAACTGGGCGTTCCACAACTACGAACCTGCTGTGCCTAACGTCTTACATCACAGACAGTTTGATTGCTCGGACCCAAACGGACGTTATCTACACAGATCTTACAGCCTTCGATAAGCTGAACCACGAAATTGCGATCGCTAAGCTTGATAGGCTAGGGATCGGTGGAAATGTTTTGAGATGGTTTCGTTCATACCTCACGGAGCGCCAATTGACAGTAACTTTGGGTACTTGTCGCTCAGCAAGCTTCTGCGCAAAGTCCGGTATACCTCAGGGTAGCCATCTGGGACCATTGGTATTTCTCCTCTACTTCGACGACGTTCACCATGTTATCACAGAGCCACGATTATCGTTTGCAGACGATCTGAAAGTTTTTCTGCGCATCCGCTCACTCGCCGACTGCCGTTCTCTCCAAAATCAGATTGATATCTTTGCTGACTGGTGTAGTCTAAGCCGACTGGTGGTCAACCCAGCTAAGTGTACAGTTATTACTTTCTCACGCAAGAAACAACCGATTATTTTCAACTACAAACTACTAGGCACGACTATCGAACGGGTGCACTGCGTGAAAGACTTAGGCGTTTTTCTAGACTCAAAGCTGACATACTCACACCATATATCGTATGTCGTCGACAAAGCGTCCAGAACGCTTGGCTTTGTCTTCAAGATTACTAAGAACTTCACGGACATTTACTGCTTGAAATCGCTCTATTGCTCTCTCGTACGATCTACGTTGGAATACTGCTCTGCTGTCTGGAGCCCGAACTACAATAATGGGGCCGAGCGAATTGAATCTGTGCAACGACGTTTTCTTCGCTTCGCGCTCCGTAAGCTGCCTTGGAGATACCCACTTCGTCTTCCAAGCTACGAGAATCGCTGCCAATTGATCAATATCGAGCCCTTACGTATCCGAAGAGATGTTTTCAGAGCCTTAACCGTCGCCGATACTCTGCAAGGAAGAATCGACTGCGAAGCAATTCTGCAACAAGTGAACATTAATGTTCAACCTCGATCACTACGCAACAGTCTTATGCTGAGACTTCCACTTCTTCGAACTAATTATAGCATAGGGAGCGCTATTTACGGCTTGCAGCTAATGTTCAACCGAGTAGCGTCGATGTTCGATTTCCACTTGCTTCGCCGAAGATTCTCTGCCTTTTTTGCTTACCGAAGGCGCTTGATCCCCAACAGCTAAGTGTAAAATTTAAGACTTATAAATTTTTAGTAACTTGACAATGCTTTCCTAGTTATTTTCGTTTGTAACTGTAGTATATGTATGTAGTCTGTATAATCTGTACTTTTTTTACAACACATCATTGGTACTATTTCTAGTCTGTTGATGCAACCATAACAAATAAACAAATAAACAAATATATAGTTTTGGGATTCCACTCTCTCTCTCTCTGTACCACAGAGAATGCCTCTGTAAGTTTTCATACTCCCTTGTCATGCCAAGGCTAATAAAATAGGTGCCCCATAACGTGGGTAGACCCTTGTTACTTTTTATGCCTTGTAGGCTCGGCTTTTTCACTCGAGGATGATCTTGAAACAAGGAAAACATGAGTTAATTAGACTTCATGTAGGGCAAAAGTTGGCTTCGGCAATACCTTAACCTATTATCGTCAGGGGGGTAAACGACGTCCTTGAGAACTCAATTTTGGCATGTGGATACATTGTGTTTCAGAGCAACTATTGGCCAAATTTGAATGCTCTAGGACTTTGTTTACCCCCCTGACGATAATTGGTTAAGGTATTGCCGAAACCAACTTTTCCCCTATGTGATTCCTAATATTCTATTCGTTGCTCCCTAGCTTGAGGTGATTAACACTAGGGTTCTGATGCATGGTCATTATCGGTTTCATTGCTTAATTTTGTTGCTAAGTAATCCAATTTTGATTGCCAAAGGGGCGCGCGCGTGTTCCAACCCTCTGAAGGGTTTAAATAGCGGGACCTTTCAATTAGAATCAATTCCTTGCGATGAAGGCAAGAATAACAACTGTATCAAAACCGAATACTTCATCATTTCTCAATAGTGGAGTAATACAACATGCACTAAACTAAGTTGGTCGCAGGGGTTCTATGTCCCGACTAGAGTAAATACAAAAGATATGGTTTTTCAACAAATTAAGTGTTATGTTTGGAATGCTTAAAAACTCTAAAAAATCTGTAGATATACAGATTAATCTGTAGTTTTGGCAACCCTACTCGGAGGAAGTCTAAGTTCCACGCTGACGACCTCTCCGCACTTCAAGACTATCGCAATTTTGCGACGACTACATACCTCATCTGAAGCTATTGAACATTCGACAATAACAAGAGGTCAGTCCTACTTTTAAATTCCACGCAAAATTTCCCAAATTCCTACACTGCACTTTGCACCCCCAACGACGAGTTGAAATGTCCCACCTATTTCAATGAAACGTGTTTTAGGTTACGTGTAAACTCGGCGATAACAATCTTTTTACTATAATCGGCCCAGGCACTGTTCCATTCAGTCATTATACACAATTCCGAACGCAGCCCTAATCACCAGCAAAGTTTGATTTATTATCGTCTCACGATAAGCCTGCGTAGGTACCTACGTAAAACCACTGATACCATTGAACACCAACCTAACTGCTTATCAGTACCAGCGCATATTTTCTATTATGGCACTGCGAGTGTTTCATTTGATTGAGCTCAAAGCGAGTTGTTATACATTGTCGTATCAATAACAAACATTTCTCCGAGTAGAAATGCGAGGCACTACTACGCTATAGAAAACCGGACTCGGGATTTTATGTAACGTAATTATTACCACCGCTATTGGTGCTCATGCTTTCCAGCCATTCTACTCGCTGGGTACAAATCACAAACATCACAAAACATATATGAAAAATGACTCTCATTAACGAGACTACTGAAAGCGAACCGAGTCGGACCGGTTAATTATTCATTCATAGTGCTTTTTTGTCTTTGGTATAAATGTAACAATTATGACGTTCCCTCACTTTAGTTCGACATTAAGGTCAGTGTGAAGAAACTTAAACCGACTGGCTCCGCCAGCTAGTTTGCATTTACTTTAATTGCAACGGAAGAGGTACTAATGGGAGGTGTAAATTTAATCATCCTCCTATTGCTCCCCAGCCAGTCAGCATTTTTTAAGCAAAACATGAAAAGAACAGCATATTGTATTTACTTACATGATCGTATGTGGTACGGTTGCAGCTTATTACGTGAAAAAGATTGATCAATCAATCGGCTCTGCAGCGCTGGAATTGAATCGATGACGATATTGTTGTTTTGCTGTTCTTGCGTCCAACGCTGACGATGTTTACAATCGAATCTACAGAATCTTCACCGATCCAGATGTGACCTCCAGTAACGGAAACAGGTCATTATTCATCGGAGCACTTATTTGCAACAAGGACTGAAACTAGTTCACACAAATCGTAAACAATGATTTGCTGCAATCACCACCAGGGCAGTTCACAGGCTCTTTAAAAAGGCTTGAAAAGAAGCAGCTGATGGATATACTGCAGCAATAAATACGATGCACCAGGAAGAGAAAAAAGTGATTTAATCCGTCAAAACAACACACGACAACACTCTTGCCACTTGGCCAACCACCGAAACCGATGAAGAAAGAGCTTCTATGAGCTTCCGAGCTCTTCCGTCGTGAACAGGTCGCAGAGGAATGAAAACAAAATCCTCGTCTCTCCGTTGCTCCGTTGTGATGTTTTGACGTTTTGCGAGTGTTTGTGTGCGTGGGAGTGACACCGTTCGAGCATAAATTGCGAGGGGTACATGAATGAGTTTACCAAATTAGAAAATTGTAATAATTAAATAGTCCATACGGTATTGGATTCATTAAGGGGTTGGAGGTAAAATGCATATTCATAATCTGCATTAGAAATGGAACCGAAATCCAAAATTTCAACAATTTTGGAACACTGGAACTATTTAAAATAATTGCATTTACATAAACAACATCACCATCTTGGCGCCCTTCGGTGGGACTGTATACACAGCAAAAAAAAAATGTAATGTCGATCAATGTAATTGGGTTCTTTAAGGGTATTGAGGTAAATGCATATTCGTAATCTGCATTAGAAATGGAACCCAAACCGAAAATTTCATCAATTTTGGTACACTGGAACTATTTTAAATAAGAATGATTACATTTGAAAAAATCAATTTATTAGCGCCCCTGGGTGTCACTTTGTATGGGAGCGAGCTGTCAGTTTGTCAGTTTAGTGTCAAACATTGATTATTTTGCTTTAAATATTGATTTAAAAATCGAGATGAAAGTGTGTGGGTTCGGAAAAAATATCGCTGTGCTCAGAAAACGAAGCTCTTTTAGATGATCTATAAAAACCGATATATTTTTCAAAATTAAAGAACCCAATTCAAGCTGATGTATGAAATAATGATGTAATAGCAAAAAAGTAGATACAATATTACATCAATGGAATCAAATCAAATTGTTCGCAAAATCGATGTACATCGTACAACGTTATATTACACAACCGATGGATTGACCTGATTGCAGCAGTTTGGATGTTATATTTAACAACTTTTTTTTTCTGTGTATATTGGCGCGAGCTGTCAATTTGTTAGTTTAGTGTCAAGCGTGTCAAGCAGTGAAGCTATTATTTAGATTATTTCACATTAAATCTGGATTTAAAAATCGAGATGAAAATCTATGGGTTCGAAAAAAATATTGTTGTGCTCAGAAAACGAAGCTCTATCAGATGATGCAAAAAATCGGTGTATTTTTCGAAGTTAAACAACCTAATTCTTGACTTTTTTATCATGATACATCCGAGGATACATCTTTGAAATTTTATATGGAACCAAGGGGTAAGTCGAGGGGGACGACTCTATCTACGATGCAAAAAAGATTGTGTTTTGCTATGGCTAGCTGCGTGCACGCTGAGTAGATAGAAAGAAGATTGATGACGATTCTGAAGATTTCCTGCAAAAAGATGATGAGCGATGCAAGTAGATGCGACGAATGAAAGAAGATTTTTCGAAGATTGATTCGCTAGCGTGAGATTTGTTGAGCATCTAAACTTGAGATTTAGATGTGTCGCCCCCCTCAGGGTAAGTCACTCAGCACATTGTGCCGAAATTAGATTCGGCACACCTTCAACACAATCTCGTAGGCATTGGATTGTTGTAAATAAAATGGCACTGCTGGACAACTGTCATTGAAGTTGTCCACAACGTTACGTGCTGTTTGACTGTATATTCAGGATCAACGTCTTAATTAATATACCAGAGGAGCTCAGACCAGTAGTTCACTTCTCGGTTCACTTCCCAACAAACAATTTTAGCTGCCGACCAGCTTATACAAGCAAAAATTAGCTGCTCAAGGCAAATTTTGGCTGTATAAGCTTATCTTCAGCTAAATTGTTAGTTGGGTTATAGATATAAATACGAAATGTAGGTTCTAGAGTGAGCTCAAGAGAAAGAGGCAGTTAATCAGACCACTTAAGTACCCTTAATTCAAATAATGCTGCTCACAAAACAAACTACAGAAGTCATATTCATGATCCTCTGCACACTAAGATTATTTTACCGAAATCTGTGAAATTTTTCCGAAATCTGAACAGTTGAACGTTCGGTAAACAGTTCGGTGATTTTTCACAGTTTTCCTGTAATTTTTCAACGAATATCTCTTTTCAGTCGCTGATTGACCGTGGCTTTTTGCATCATGAAACCCTAAAACACAGGACTTTTACTATCCAATGACCACAAAACACCAAAATTTCGCACACTTGCCACTTCCCGCGTCATTATTAATCCGATTTATCCTTGCGATTTCAAACCAAAACATTCAAGATGTCAGAAATGCCGAGTTGCCGGGATGGGTAATTTACAAACAATCGCAGCTTGCTCTATGACCGGCACAATCGGCACACTTGCGGCACACTGACGAAAAAGGTGACCCAAGATAGGTGTGCGGAGTGACCTACGTCTTGTATGGAACCCTCCTGCAAACAACACGTTGTTATGAAGAGGAAGGATATGGCTTTCATTCGGAATGGATTTTTTGGGCCGCTTGGATTAGTCCGCCATCTTGAATTTTATCAGAAAAACGTATTTTTCAATATTTTTGCAACCACCGATTTTGATACTGTGATCACCATCTGAAAGCTAAGAAAAAAATGCTGTCAGATTAAAGGGGCAATGACATTAACAATTCACAATTTTCCACGCATGACGTGCCATCAACGTCAAATCAGCGCCAGCGTTCAGTGTGCGTATGTTGTATATTTGCGTGGTTGTGTATTGTTGGTTCATTGTTTGCGTGTATGAATGCGTTCATCACCGTTGGTTTTTCTCGACGGAAGTTTGTTCTGTGTTCCAGATTCACTAAGGATGTTGAAGAATCGTGCAATTTAGCTAACCGTTTTGCAAAAACTACTCACACAAACTGAAGAAAATCTTCGAAACTTACGAAAGTGATAGCAAACCTCATGGCTTATTTTGAATCGATCTGATCTGCGACCGTTTCCAATCTCGGAGGCAAACCATGTGCAACCTGCCGTTTGAAAGTGACTCGCCTGTTGCATAATCGTTCTTCTCACTGAAGTTCTCAGCCTATGGAGGTTACAGACGACGAAGATGGGATTAACGTGGAGGAAGTATCGATGTTTGAAAACGTTGGTGATCTAGTTGGTGATAGGCTACCATAGTATCAACCGGTGGAAACTAACGATTTTAAATTGGCTCACTACTTGACTAGCCTATTGGTCCCAAGCAAATCGATTGACGTACCCCATTCTTGTCAAAATTCTAGTACTACATAGGAAAATTCACAAATATCTGTCAACACTAGAATTTCGACTATAATGGGGTACGTTAATAGATTTGCTTGAGACCAATACCCAAGTAACCATAGGCACGTTATTTCGCCTTTTTGGCTATATACGGGCCTCATCAGAACTTACAACTACTGGTATAGCCGTTGTTCTGCTGTATATAACCAAAAAGGCGAAATAACGTGCCTATGGTTACTTGGGTAGGCTAGTCAAGTAGTGAGCCAATTTAAAATCGTGTCTGTGTGACACCATAATTTGAATCCGGTGGTGTTGATTGATACAATTTACTGCCTTTCTCATTGTTAATTATCTGCATTCTATGTTTCATCAATCACCGTAATGACCACCATTTATCATTGTTTCGAAGTCGTTTGTTTCAATAAAATCACCCAGTTTCACAAAATCCACCACCAGTCATGGCGTACCAGTTCTACATATCTAAATTCTTTCAACGAGTTATCAGCAAAAGTAGCCTACATGGTGCTTATCATCTATCCGCTCCAAAGCACACTATGTTCGAAAGGTATTTATTTGAAGAAAAAAAAATCAAATTGCAGCCATCAACAACATTCTCTTGTGTTACAGATACCTATGGGGTACACTGATTGTCTCAACTGTTTTATACTCTTCATATTTGATAACGCTGTTTTGGATCCGTTACCTAACAAACCCAACTGTGATTTCCCTTGATCGGAACTATCACGAGTGGAACACGACGTTTCCAAGTATAACCGTTTGTTTCCATGATCGACTGAATACAACTGCACGGGATATCTTGATCCAACGCATGAAACCAAAAAATGCCACCAAATTTATGGAATTTTTGAACTTACTAGCCGAAACCGACATCTCCAATTTCGACCAGTTGATAGAATTCGATGAATACAGCAATTTAGATTTGGAAGCTATTCTAAACGCAGTAGTCAACCAAATCCATGTAAACGTGACACTCAGTAATGGTATGGAGGCAAAGTTCCACCGAATCATCTCGGAACTTGGAGTTTGTTACACTTTCAATTCAGCTATTCTTCGATACTTGTCTGTTGGCACAAACGTCAGCAACAATAGTTCACAAGAGCTGGTTGAAATAAGCATAATAGAGAGAGAAACAACGGCAGCTTTGAACAACTTATCATGCAATGGAAACGTGAGTTAAGCTAGGGATGGACATGTTGTGCTTATTCAAAGCAATCATAAATTATTTCAGATTTTCTACCACGGTCCTTTTGAGGTACCCACGTTTCTTAAGAAACTCGTGGTACCATCGTCAGCATCGGCATTCGTGAAAATGTCATTCAAGCCGGTTATCATAATGGCAGATGCCACAATCGAGAACCTCTACGTAAAACAGCGAAATTGTCGGTATCCTCATGAGTCAAACTTGCAACTGTTTCCGGAAATCTATTCGTACAGCTTGTGTTCGCTTGAGTGCAAGTTGACGCAATTCCTTGAAACATGTGGATGTGTGCCACATTTGTATAAGTTTGGTAAGACGATGTTGAATGTTGGAGGACATCATGGAATTATATTTTTGTCTTACATAGGTGGTTTTCCGATGTGTTCTCTAGGCAATCTTGGTTGTGTTTCGAAAAATTTGCGTAAGAAATACTTAAGGTATTCTTAATGAATATAATATAAGTAACATAGTTGAAAATTTCAGTGAAGGTTCATCAGAATGCTTCATCATGCGGATGCCTCAAGGACTGCACGTTGATCAATTTCACTCTGCAAAGCTATTTGTTGCTCGACTGGTTCAATAGTCCACTGATTAAATGGGACATAGCTGTTTCCAAAATACGATATAGTCGGCGAATAATCTTCAACTTTTCTGATGCCATGGGTAAGTTGTATGGATTGTGGAAATTTGTAACACTGAATCGTCTCTTTTAAATGTGTAAATGTTTTCTTGCAGTGTCAACTGGAGGCATAGCTGCATTATTCTTTGGAGCAAGTTTTGTCACATTGGCAGAAATCATGTTTCTCATAGTAAAAACTGCGATTACACAGGAGAAAAAAATTTGAATTTCGTTCCATCACGTAAAATCTCCCCTTGTAAAATATTGAGCTAAAGGTGGCATAAATAACGAGATAGCAACATAGCACATATAGGGAAGGATACAAATCAGGTACAAATTAGTGTACTAAAGAAGAAAAAAATTGTACAAGGTTACTGAGATTAAGCAATACTATATTTGGTGAGATATGTTGTGTGTTTATAGTGTAGAGAGATATCTAGAGAATTATACTATATACATAATATCGGTTTCGCTCCACCTCAATCCTCCCCACTCAATCGATTATAAATCAGGTCCTGATCATTCTATCAAAACTTTAGCTTACTATCCTGTTGTCGCCATCTTAAATCCTGGGTTGATCATATTTATGATCAGATTAACAGCATGATTGATTTTTGCATTAGATGTCACTAGTTAAAAAAAATTACGGCAATTTATTTTGTATTCATGGCGATGTATCAAATATTTTGATGTAAATGCAAAAAAAAACTGATATAATATTACCAACAATCAATACGAAACGACGAAATTAATGAGACAGACAAACAGCCGTAGCTCTTCATTATGGATCATCGTAAACGCATTCAATGACTGATTCGAATATTATCATCTCCACGAGTTACCTTTACATTCTAGGTTACATTAGATAAAGAGAACTTTAATCTGGACACACTGGTCAAGTAGAGGACAATAGCAACAAGGGAAAAAGAAAAAAAAATCTATATATATAAAAATGAATTTCTGTCTGTCTGTCTGATTCTTATAGACTCGGAAACTACTGAACCGATCGGCGTGAAAATTTGTATGCATGGGTTTTTGGGGCCGGGGAAGGTTCTTATGATGGTTTGAGACCCCTCCCCTCTCTGCAAGGGGGGGCTCCCATACAAATGAAACATAAATTTCTGCATAACTCGAGAACTAATAGAGCAAATGGAACCAAATTTGGCATGTGGAAGTCATAGGGGGTATCCCCTTAGATAAGAGGAGGAGGGGCTCCGTACAATATAGCATGCTTTTTTTAATCGGCGCATAAGCTCAAGCTAACATTAAATCCCAAGCAAGGCCGGGTACACTCAGCTAGTATAGAATAAAAGTCAGTCAACCAACGTAATCGCGTGCGAGGACACGTGTGTTTTGATTCAATTCGATAATATAATCCCTGGTTAATGATAAAACATTTAAAAACTAGGATAAAAATAAGTACAAATCCAGATGTAAAAACGGTCTGGATCTGCGGGTGCGACACATTCAAATCTCAATTCAAGATGGTCAGAAAATATAAAATTATCAAATCATTCTACGATAAATCCGAGCGACACATCTAAATCTCAATTTTTGATTCTTAAAAAATCTCACAGTAGCGAATCAATCTTCAGAAAATCGACTTTCATTTCTTGCATCTTCTCGCATCACCTTGCATCGCGCATCATCTTTTTGCAGGAAATCTTCAGAATCATCATCAATCTTCTTTCTATCTACTTAACGTGCGCGCAGATTGCCACAGGAAAACACAATCTTTCCTGCATCGTAGATAGAGTCGCCCCCTCGGATAAATCTTTTTTCATCTCTTGCATCTAAATCGATCTACTCGCATCGCACTCCAAGTTTTTGCAGGAAATCTTCAAAATCTTCAACAATCTTCTTTGTATCTCATAAGCATGCGTGCATCTCACAACAGTAAAGCGAAATTTTTCCTGCATCTTAGATAGAGTCACCCCGGTCTGGAAGTTGATTAAATTCGTTCGGAAAATTAAGTGGAAGTTGAAATCGAAAGACAGTAGGCTTCGTGGATTGCGTTTCATCAAAAGCTGCATAAATGAAAGCTGCACGAAAATTAAACCAAAGATGAATATGTACTACAATAAAATTCACGAAAAGGCCTACGAATTGTGAACAACAAACGGAGAGAAAACAAAGTTAACAGTGCGTGAAACGGTCTGCAAAGTTCAGTCCGTTGGAAGATAAGTGAAAATGGAAAATCTTGCCACGTCTACCCTTCCGAGGTTCGATCCCTGCGACACATCGACAGTGGGGGTTATTCCGAAAGTCGAAGTGACTTTTGTCACTAGTGAAGTGAGAAAAGTCACGTCGTGGTGACGTGACTCTCTGTGCAAATCAAATGAAGAGTCACGTCACCACGACGTGACTTTTCTCACTTCACTAGTGACAAAAGTCACTTCGACTCTCGGAATAACCCCCAGTATGTAATCACTGGAAGAAGTGGAAACGCTGTTTCAAAATTTTCCTTGAGTTAAACAATCTGATGATACCCACGCTCGTATATGCTACACTATACGGGCAGTGATATTCAGGATATATTTTTAAATCTGCGTCGAGAAGAAGAACTTATAATACCAGAAGGAAATTGAAAGGAGTGGTAGTGTCAGTTCAGGTAGACCCTACGGTGAAACCAGATCAGCAAATGCAAAATCGTATTCCAATTCCACTGCAACAGAAAGTCGCCAGATAGCCAGATTACTAGAAGAGGATGTAATCGAAAGAGCCCCACGTGATTCTTCGTGGATCTCACGAATCGTCGTTGGACCAAAGCCAGGTAACAACGATGAAGCTCGGCTGTGTGTCGACATGAGCGATGCTAACAAAGCGATTGTACCACGGTTAGAAACTAACAATTTAAAATTGGCTCATTACTTGACTAGCCTACTGGTCCCAAGTAAATCTATAACCGTACTCCATTCTAGTCGAAATTCTAGTACTACACTATGTTGGTTTTGATTAGCTATGAAAGTTTGACAGATCACGCAGAAAAAAGTATCATCGAAATAAAAATATATGAGGTAAAAATAAACGTAAACTCAGTTTGTTCTGGCCGAGGTTCTGGCCACAAAAATAAAATAGGTTGATTCAAACGTACGTTATGTTCAAAGTCATGTGATATCAATGTTTAAAATAAAAATTATTATACGTTTATTTTAAAAATATTCGAGTTGAAAATAAACGTGAATAGTTTTGTTTGATTTGACAGCTTTGTAAACAAAAATAAATATTTTTATTTTATATATGATTTTAGAGTTTATCTTAAACGTATTTAATGTTAAGAAAAAATATATATTTATTTATTATTATAAATCATCAATGCGCGATAAAATAAAACGTTCGTTTCCAATCAGCCTGACACACTCAAGCTGGAAAGACAGTTGTAGAGCAAATAAGATTCTTCCACAACACGGTAACCGCAAAATACCCAATAATGACTACAAAGTAAGCATTTTCGAGGGAGACTGGGACTACCCATTAAATGAGTAAAAATATTACCCATTTATGAGTATTTGTTACTCAAAAATGAATACTTACTATTTGTTTTTGTAGTTGTAATTACTCATAAATGGGTAAAATTTTACTCATTTAATGGGTAGTCCCAGTTTCCCTCGAAAATGCTTACTTTGTAGTCATTATTGGGTATTTTGCGGTTACCGTGAATGCAACGTTTTCGAGACATGGCATCAATGCTGGTACCCGGCGTGTGATGACTGTATAATGTCTCTACGTAGAACATCCCATCCAGGAGCCAGTCCTATCTTTCGTACAAAAATATAACTTCCAATCAGAGTATCACCACAAACGAAGTGACAGACGGAGCGGCTCGAAAACTTTGGTGACTAACCTGCTAATTCAATTTTTCAGTGTACCTCATGGCAACACCACTACTACTGGATTGTACCACATGGCAACACTACTACTGGATTGTACTAGCATTTTCACCAAATGTATTAGAATGTTTTGGTTCTATCTCTTTCACTCTACTCAAAACTGAAATGCATAAAACACTCTTTGCACACTGTCAAAGAATCATTGTACACAAAATATACTTTGTTCAAATCAAAACAAAAAAACTAACCCATCTGGTGGATGATGGCACAAGCTTCCAAGAAAATTCTATTACAGTGAACCACATTATTTTAATGGATTTCTTCGCCAGTAAGTCGTCTGTCACTTCGTTTGTGGTATCACCAGCTCCATTCTCGCTTCGTCCAGCTCTTGATCTAATCCGGTCATTACCAAAAACTTCAGATCGTGCGAAATGCCTAGTGAAATAACTACCATCTTCTGCGCCATTATTGTCTCCGCCAACCATTTCCGCTTGGCCAGCTCCCACTGGAGAATGATTCCATTCTTATTCGTCACGTACAGAAACCGATTATCGTCAGTCAAACACAGACACGGTGACAAAAGCTGTCAAATACAATGGATTTTGATATTGTTGAAATAAACATGCCTTTGAATTTAATTCAAACATAAATATTTTCATTTTAAACATGTTTTCAATTTACTTTGAATAATTAATATGTTTAGAGTATAAACATTTATATTTTTGAAATAAATGAACAAAATTCGTATCCGTGTATATTGTTGAAATAAACATGCTTTTGAAATTAATTCAAACATAAATGTTTTAGTTTTAAACATGCTTTCAATTTACTTTGAATAATTCATATGTTTAGAGTATAAACATTTATATTTTTGTTTTAAATGAATAAAATTCGTATCCGTGATAAAATGAGGGGTTCGTGGATTTTCCTATGTTTCGAGGGGTGCATCGATTAGCTTAGGACCAAAGAGAGTACTTGCAACAATCAATACGAAACTAACGATTTTAAATTGGTTCACTACTTGACTAGCCTATTGGTCCCAAGCAAATCGATTAACGTACCCCATTCTAGTCAAAATTATAGTACTACACAATGTTTGTTTTGATTCGCTATGAAAGTTTGACAGATAAAATGAGGGGTTAGTGGATTTTCCTATGTTTCGAGTGGTGAATCGATTAGCTTGGGACCGAAGATAGTACCAGAGCTGAGCCAAAAAGTTGAGCACGTTTCTTCGGGACCTTCTGGTCTTAGAGTTACCTTTATGATTTTACCACAGCATCATCCACTGCCAACGTTTGATGACATCATCTCCCATCTACACAGCTGCATAGTGTTTTCCAAAATCGACCTAAACAAGGCTTTTCATCAGCTCGAGCCATCCAAACAGGGTCGGAATTAAAAGGTAATCCGATGTGGAGCTTACCACAATTAATGTTCATGATTAGTAAACATTGCCCGCAGCTTGTGTCACTTTTCGTCTAGTGAGTTAACTCAAACCTCTTACTCCAAGAGAAGAAGGGACGAAAAAGAGCTATTTGCTACATTAGTAAAGGATTGTCTCCGGCGGAACAAGCTTACCCACAGAATAAAAGGGTAACATCCCAACAAACATTGAATGTTGAAATAGAGCTTATTTAGGGAAAAATCTCGGGAAAAATAAGCTTCTTCAGCAACAAAATAGCTTATTCAGCTGTTAATAAACTCAAATTGTTTGTTGGGATTAGCATTGGTATGGGTGACGGAAAGGCTCGAAGCGTAGCTCAGCGGATAATTATTCGAACTAATCACTGGCCATGAACTACTAAATGTTATGTTTGGGACAAACCGTAAACAATGTCATAAAATTGAAAGGTGGGCTTTAAGGTTTCAGTATTTTCGTTATTGTGTCAGGAAAATACTAGGTTTAAACCACGAAAATATTGAAAATGAAAGCAATTTTATTGGTTTGAAAATATTTATTTTATCATAGACGCATATTTTTAAAACAAAATTGTTTTACTGGTTTAACTGTTAAAAATACCTCTTGGAAGCAAATCCAAAACCATTGTCAAGAAAGCCAACAGGCCCAAATTTTTGAGTTTTTAAAGTGAGCAGCAAAAACCTCAACGGGAATAGATTCCAATATCTCTCCTTAAAGGGTGATACGGTCAAAATTTGGTCAATATCAACTTGACGTATTTCTTTCAATTTTGCATTTAAAAAACCTGAACACCCCTCATTTTGAAGGTGTGTGTGTGTAGAATGTTGCTTCTATTTTGATTTTGGAATTCACTCTTCAGTTGTCAAAATGCCGTCCAAGCAAGAAGAGCAGCGTATCAAAATTTTGCTCGCGCATCGCGAAAATCCGAGCTACTCGCACGCAAAGTTGGCAAAATCGCTAAAAGTTGCCAAATCAACCGTTACAAATGTAATTAAAGTGTTTGGGGAACGTTTGTCGACAGCCAGGAAGTCTGGATCGGGGGGAAATCGAAAACCGGAAGCCGCTGAGACGACAAAGAGAGTTGCCGGTAGTTTCAAGCGAAACCCTAACCTCTCTCTCCGAGATGCCGCAAATAAGCTGGGTGTATCGTCTACAACCGTGCATCGAGCCAAAAAACGAGCCGGACTATCGACTTACAAGAAGGTAGTGACTCCAAATCGCGATGATAAACAAAATACGACGGCCAAAGCGCGATCCCGGAGGCTGTACACGACGATGCTGACGAAGTTTGACTGCGTGGTAATGGACGACGAAACCTACGTCAAAGCCGACTACAAGCAGCTTCCGGGACAGGAGTTTTATACGGCAAAAGGAAGGGGAAAGGTAGCAGATGTTTTCAAGCACATGAAACTGTCAAAGTTCGCAAAGAAATATCTGGTTTGGCAAGCCATCTGTACCTGTGGCTTGAAAAGTAGCATTTTCATAGCTTCCGGGACTGTCAACCAAGAAATTTACGTGAAAGAGTGTTTGAATAAACGTCTGCTGCCTTTCCTGAAGAAACACGGTTGTTCCGTACTGTTTTGGCCGGATTTGGCATCTTGCCATTACGGTAAAAAGGCCATGGAGTGGTACGCCGCCAACAACGTGCAGGTGGTTCCCAAGGACAAGAACCCTCCCAACACGCCAGAGCTCCGCCCAATTGAGAAATACTGGGCTATTGTCAATCGGAACCTAAAGAAGACCAAAAAACTGCTAAGGGCGAGCAGCAGTTCAAGGCAAACTGGCTTTCTGCGGCGAAGAAGGTGGCCAAAGTGGCTGTACAAAATCTGATGGCAGGGGTCAAGCGTAAGGCCCGGCAATTCGGATTTGGAAAAGCGGAAGCCTAACTGAATATTTTTCCTGAATTTTATACTAATTGAACTTGAGAAAGAAATTTAATTTGATTTTTTAAATAAACGATTTCACCGATTTACACGCGTTTTCCCTTGACCAAATTTTGACCGTATCACCCTTTATGTACTAACATAGAGGTAATAAATAATGTTGATAATACAATTCATTTTGAAACTTTTAAAACTTGTGGCTGGAAACCTTTTGATTGGACAGTTGGCTGACTTTTATTTTGAAAGAAAAACGCTTTTTACCAAAAAGAACCAAAGATTTTTCTTTGTTTGTACCAAAAACATATAGAGTTCTCCAGATGCACAAAAGTGTGCGTGAGACCACGCGCTACCTTTTTAAGTAGTTGTGATATCGCGATACCTTTTTGGTTCTTCTTCTTCTTCATTTTTTATATATGAACGTTGGACTTAAGTGTTCGTGAGATTGCGCTTGGAGATCTCTATTCTGTAGGAAAAATTGTGTTTTGCTGTGGCTAGCTGCGCATACGCTGAGTAGATAGAAAAAGATTTATCACGATTTTGAAGATTTCCTGCAAAAAGATGATGCGCGATGCAAGAAGATGCGAGAAATGAAAGAAGATTTTTCGAAGATTTATTCGCTAGTGTGAGATTTTTTGAGCATCTAAAATTGAGATTTAGAGTGTCGCCCCCTTGGGTTTTTGATAAAAAATTTCAAATCTTCGTTCATACTTATTTAAACAACTTTTTGACCATATGAAGGTTGCGCCATGCTGTATGGTAGTGTTGGAATCAAAATTGACAGCTTACAATAATCCATTGGATTCCAAGGATTCCAAGCTTCAGAAGCCGGATTATTTGCCGATTATCGATTCGTCGGATCAGGTGGAATATACTGTTTAATACAAACAAAATCCAATCCACCGTAACATGGACTTGCCCCTCGTCAAGCTGTCAATGTTATGCTCCCTCCGCAGCATACAACTGCCAGCAAATGTGCTGCTCGTAAACGTCACGACGCAATTTAAATACATCGGAATAACCAAACCGAGCAAAACAAAATAGTTTCGTCTTCCAACGGTTATCGAAAGGCGCGAGTGAAAAATAATACCTAGTGCAATAATTTTGTGTTGTTTGTGGAAATACCCGAAACAATTTTCAGGTGCATGTTTCTGTAGCGTTAAGTGCATGAAATGGCCGACGAAAGTTTCGATTTCAACATAACGAAATTCCTCGCCGAGCAGAAGCAACTGCTCGCCTTGGAACGGGAACGTTTCGCGGTGGAAAAGAACCGGATCCTGGAACCGGAAAGTGTAGGCTCCCCCGGCAAGGTCGAGCACGTGGCCGATAGTCCGGCGGGCAAGCAGGTGAAAAACAATTTGAACTCCAAGCTAGTTCTGGGAGATAATCGTCCCGGGAAGGAACCGAGGGCTGCACCAGAGGGGCGTAGTTCCGATGGTGATAAGGAAAATCAATCGGATAATACCGTGCTGAAGGATGGTGGTGAAGAGTGTCCAGTGGAGAGGCTGCTCAGGGCAAGTGGAAATGGTGATGGTTTGAAAATTGTACATTTCGAAGAGTACAAAAGTGGCGCCAAAGATCTTAGCAAGACACAGGATAATACACCTACCAAACGTGATGATGAAGCAGTATCCTCGACGAATCCAGATAAGCAACAGGTAGGAATGATTGTGTGGTTTGTTTATATTTTTTGTGTAGCGCGCCGACGCAGATCCTATCGAGCGATAGTTGGAAAATATGCAGTCGGGAGAAGATGATGAAAGGGCAATCCCGAGTAAAACGCATTTTCGGTTTTAAAATTTTTGAATCTCGTGAAATTGAATCAACATCGCTTTTTAATGTTTTACTCATCTGCTTCTAAGAAAACAATGTATACACGGTCTTCTCTGCGATTAATTTTCCTCGGGTTCCATCCGAAGGAACCTCGACAATTAGTTCTTCCGTTTTTCACCTCTCGTCTTTACCTTGGAGGTCGCTTACTTCCTTCCGATAATAACATCCTCGCCGACTGATTGCCCGTCAACTCGAGTTGCAGTCCTTTTTTTTAGCAGTGCTCGACTAGTCTTTCGGTAGCCTTCCACGGGATCAGTTCAAAGCTAGAACTGAGTTAACTCGACACCGGTCCATCGCGCTCCTAGGAAACCTTGCTCTAGCATGGTTACATCAAGAAATTGATTGTCTTCACAGCCGTTGATAGTGAGTGTTTTCCAGAATCAATCGAAATCCATTAATTTCTGTCTGCAGAGTCTAGTGACGAGAGGATATTATCCTCATCGCGTGACTGACTACGGCAGCTGTGGGTACGAGGAAGCAGTTTCAAGCATTCGTGTTTTACGACGTCCTTCCTGCGAGTAAGGTGTTACTTGTGTTTAGCAGTCTCCAGTTCGAGTGCCATTGCTGGATTTGGTTGTTGGTGAAAGTGGCAATGATACCTTGTTGTGTTGTAAACGAGGGAGAAACGGAAGGAGATGATATTATCACGTGATTAATTTGTTCAACATTTCCGAGAGTGATTTCGGCGGATACTGGAAGCGGATGCGGCAAGTAGAAGGGATTAAACCGATTCAATTAGGGCTTTGAAAGCTTTAGACAGGTTTTGAAGAAAACTGCTGGTTGACAGGGTCAAGTTTTGGAAAATATTAGGGGTATTCACTATGCGCATTGTAAACATATACACTATCGTAAAAATACCAGGGTCAATTGGAGTGTAATGGAAGTTTACACATTTACGAAGGTGTATACGTTTACGATGCGCTTTGTGAATACCCCTATTATTATAGTGGATGGGTATTTTGAAGAGAATGGTTAAATATGTTTGAATTTGAAAAATCCACACCAGGAATGTTCCAAGGAAAAGCTTTTTTGATTATTTAAAGTTCAATCCAAGGACTCCTCAAAGTTACAGCAGTTACATAGGGTGTCTACTATCCCGGAAAACCTAGAATCTTCCAAGATTTTTATTTTGTAATTCCCAGCAAATTTCATCATTATTCAGGGAAATCTTTAATTCTCTCACCAAGCAATTTTTTTTTAACAGATATTTTTAAAGTAGGTGCTTACAAAAAACATGTAAATTTAAAAAATCTGAAACGAAGATAAATATTAAATATGTCGAATATTGATCATTTTCCAAGGTCCCAGATTAGATAATCAAGATTATGGACCTTGACAAATTTTTCAGATTTATGGACTGCGGATGATTGAAATTGAAGAAAATTTTCAGGGAATTCGGAGGAGAATTTCAAGAAAGTTATGTGAAGAATTGAGATAAACTGAAAATGAAATCTACGGACAATTCCAATTCTGAGTTGAATCTTAACGCAACTCAGGATTCAATGGAAATTTCAATGAAAATTCATAGGAATTTCTGAACTTAATTCTTAAGGAATTATTTATGATGATATTTCGAAGAGAATTCTGAGAAAAATTTCATGATAATTTTCAGGAGAATTAAAAAAAAAAATCTGGGTACATAAAAATCCAAAGCATAGTTCTCTTCAACCCGAACAATGCATAAGTCCTAAGTACAATTGATCAATTCTCTTCATCGACTGTCTCTTTCAATACTGATGACTCCAAACCCAAAACCGTTTCTTATCATGTTTGCGCCGTTAGATGCTAGATAATAACTTTTTATATCGAACTGTGTTGAAAATAGCTGGACTAACTAACTTCCGACGTAATTAGTGACATAGTGAAATCAGTGATCCCTGTAAGAAAATTTGTTATGATTTTCATTTATATGCTCAATATTATCGAGACAATTATTAGGAAATTTTTATTGAATTTCTTAAACAGTGTTTAGGGACCTAGTACACTTTGAGAAAGGCAAAGGATTTAAAATGGCATCTCGCTTAACATTCAAGGAAGTAGACTTTCTCAACAGCAGTAGCCTAGATGCCATGAAAGTTGCGAATTCTTATAAGCTTGTCAATCACGATATCGCTGCAGCGTCGCGCTTCATGAGCACAGAAACTAATCGTAAAGAACTTTTAACAACGGCGTTTTGGTTCAAACTTCCCGTCAGTTTAATATTGCTTTGAGTCTTAAACATTTAAATGTGTATAATCCAAGGGGTAAGTCACTCAGCACAGTGAGCACATCCATTGGCACACCTTCGGCACAATCTCGTAGGCATTGGATTGTTCATTAAATGAAATGGGAGCACTGTTGGACAGCTGTCATTGAAGTTGTTCACAACCATTACGTGCTGTTTGACTGTGTATTTCAGAAACATACTCTAATTGAATATTCTAGAGGAACTCAGACCAGCAATTCACTTCTCGGTTCACATTTAAATTCAAAATGTAGGCTTCCGAGGGCTGTCGATTGCTATCGATGCCGGTCACAAGTCTTTCAGCTACTACGCAAATTGAGTGTACTACGAACCGGAATGTATGAACAATTTAGATGGGTTAAATCATGCAGGTTGGTGGCGGTTGGATACGGAAAACTCAAAGGAAAAGATTACTGGCTTATAAAGAACTCCTGGTCCAACTACTGGGACAACGATGGATATGCTTTGATGGCGGTGAAGGGTAACAACTGTGTCCTTAGAACCGATGCCACGTATGTAAATTTGAAAAAAAAATTAGAATTAAATAAAAGAGTAGCTTTATTTTCGGATATGTGTCATCTTATACGAGATAGAATAAATGGTTTTGGATTTTTGTAACATAAAATAAAAAAAATTGTAAGTTAATTAGGTTGAGTGGAAGCAATTAAAAATCCGTGCCTTGAAAACTAGTTCTGTATCTGAAGTGAGTTTGGTTTGGTAGATGAATCAATGGACCGAGTACTCAAATTCTCCCGGAACTCCAACTTGATGGCAAAACGGAACGTCTTAGCTTGGGATGCTCCTTCTTGGCATAATCCATTCCGGTGTCGAAAACCTTCGAGAGCTTCTTGCCCGGAATCATCACCTTCAGCAGTTTTAGAGATGAACTAGACTATGGCTAAAAATCTCTTAAATAAAGTATTAAAAAAACCCTTCAGCAGTTCCTCTTCCAGATTGAGCAGAAAGGTGTAGTGCTTCTGAATCGTTTCCGTCGGATTGACCAGCATCGTTCAGACGACATTGGAGCATAGGACTTGTAACGCGCACCCAGAGCACAGATGATCGATCCGAAGTGCAGATAGTTCTTGTCGCTGAATGCACTGACTGAACTTCAAGCTGTAATTGCCACCCAACTGGATAATCGCCGGGTAGCACATGTCCAACTAGTTGGTATCCACACCGGAGACGTACCTTTTTCCGTCCGAGCTTGCTCGAAACCATCCGTTGTTTTACTTTCTTATCAGCATCGATAATCTCCATGATGTGAACCTTGAGGTACTTGTTAAATACGTCTACCGTCACCAGGCAGGCCTTCTTGATGGTGATAACCTCGGAGTCCTCCTTGGAGCACATGATGTACCCGATTGGGACGCTGATGTCCACCGTGTCGATTCACAGAATTCACCCGGAAAGTTTTCCTCGGAGAAGACGCCCAACGTTTTGCCATCGTTGGATCCCTTGATCACCTCCAGCAGCTTTTCAAAATTGGCCTTGCCTTTGTCGTGCTTATCCCAAACCAACAGTTTCACCGACGGAATGCCCTCCTCACCCTATGTATAATTGACATCGCTCCTCACCGTCCTTCTCGATCTGCTTCAAGAAGTAGATCTTCTTCTTGCTGGTCAGGGAAAAGATGAACTTTCTGCACAGCACCGTAATCGTATATCCAGAACAACATGTGAAAAGGGCATACAAGCTTTTTGTAAACAAACCTTCTTATGCCCTTTTCTCGCCACCCATATGACACCAACGCAAACCTTCAACATCACCGGGTAGGGGACACTTTCTCCTTCCCGATGATATTGCTGGTTTGCGTGGGCGACCCTCGGTTGGTGAGAAAAGGGCCTACAAAGGTTTGTTTACAAAAAGCTTGTATGCCCTTTTCACATGTTGTTCTGGATATCGTATAGAGCTTGCTGACGTTTATCGTATGCACACTACGTCACGTATACGTATACGCAAAATGTTTTCATCGGGAAAAAAAAAACTTCATAGCGAAAAAATTTCCAGATGAAAACAAATCACTGACACAATCACACTTTAAGCCTGGTACGCAGCTGAAAAGTAATGACGTTTTTACGTGCTACGGGATAGGACACGGAATGCTAAAGAAATTTCTTTTCCTTAGCATTTCTTGACCAAGTACGCAGTTCAAAAGAAATCGGTAAAGGAAAGATCGATTACATTAGTATCGTGATCGACATGAAGGTGGCGCATTCTGAATGTAATTTCATTTTGCTTGCGGAATAATGGTCTGATCAATTATTCCGTTAGGTAAGTTTAACGTTTGTTGTAAAAATGATGTTTTGGATGCATTGTAACAACATAAAAACTGATAATTGTTGATTTTAAAATTAGACGACACCTACCTATGAACTCAAAATTTAGCAAAAGACACCTCCCTATAGCTGTCAAATTTACTTTTGGGAATATTCCTCAAAAATTACTTTTCCGTTTTCTTTTCAGCTGCGTACCAGGCTTTAAGCCTGGTACGCAGCTGAAAAGTAATGACGTTTTTACTAGAGTCGGTGTTTAATGAGTCACGCCAAGAGAAAAACAGTTGAACTCGCATCACGGTTTTCGAAAGATTCCCATTCTTTT